TCGGAGTAAAGTGCTTGCATGGATAATTTTTTTATTTGACGAGCTATATTCACGAAATTAGGCACGAGTTATTGCTTAAGGCAACAAATTATTCTCCACAGAAATTGGTCAAATCAGATCACTATATCATATAGCTGCCATACAAATTGAACGTTCGGAATCAAGTTCTTGTAAGGGGCCTTTGTTTTTGTGAAGGGTATTATAGCTTCGGCGCAACCGAAGTTAATGTTTTTTTCTTGTTTCTGAATATGTTCGTCAATATGGACTGTACGGAAATTATGAAATTATAATTAAAATAAATTTATTTTAGTAGATGTCTTTAAAGATCAGTTCAAGCTTTATATACATTTTTATGCTTCGGACCATTGTACACGAAATAACTTTTAGAGTTTAGCGTAAACAAGCAAAAAAAAACATGTTAATCATAAAAATATTCGTTTGATATTTTGTACATTTCCTGAAGCATGTTCAAATTTTGTATTTAATTTTTTATAAGCTACACGTTTTTTAACAAAAAAACATACTATTTCATTCGTTGCAAAAAAATGCAGAATTAAAAAAAAAATCATTATAAAATAAGAATTACGTTTCCTAGAATGTATCGGAAGAGTCCTTAAGTTTTATGTGATGTATTCTGAAACTCTAATAAATTGTGACTTTGGAAAGTGTTATTTCGCCCCAAAACAATGCCTCCAAAATCTTTTGCGTGCTGTAAACGTTATATTTTAAGCCTTAATAACTCTGAGAATTTTTTCTGTACAATATCACTAAACTTCAAGAGTCAGACCATTAGATATCGACTTTGTTTTCTTATATTTAAAAGCTCTCGATATTTTTCATGTTAATATTGAAACCAATGTATGAGCTATTGGTTTATGATTCTAATTCGGAATATTGCACAAATTATGTATCATAAAGATATGAAGACTCTCATTTTTGAGGCCAGAAGCAAGATATACACCCAATAGTAGTGCTAATTTTGATAATGTAAGATTTCGACGCAATATCTTATTAAGTTAAAAAAAGTATTGCCTCGTCAAAGAATTTAATAACTTATTGAAGATGGTGTCACTAGCTGTTGATTAAGATCATTCTTAGACTTAAGTGGATATTCTAGTCTAGAGACATGAATTTTAGGTAATTTTTTAAGTGTCGTAAAAAAAGACAATCATTATTCTATTCATCATCATCAACATTGAAATTTGGGATGAGGCTAGTTCATACTCGAGAGAGGTCTATAAAGAAGGTTATCTGAAAATTTCAAGTAAATCGATCCAGTAGAACTTGAGAAATCGTGGATATCGTAGTGGAAAAGTCTGGTCTGAGGAAAACGCATTTAAAGTTTCGCGTAAAGTGTTTTGTTCGATTAGACCCAGACGAACCAGTTTGGAGGCCGGGTCAGTAAAATGTCTATATCTCTGAAAATAATTTAAATTTTCAAAAATCCAAAATCCTAGACATATTCTTAAATAGTTAAACTTTAAAAATATTGACAAAAAAATCGATTGTTTTGAAATTCTACACTAGAATATCCCTTTAAGTTAGACCATGAACACCAGCTAGGAGAGACTGTTAATTACAACCCAACTTCAGAGAGCGTAGTTTTGTCATATTTTTCAAAATACTTCAGTGATAGTATGTGGAACAGGTATTCATAAATTCGATCCTGCCCAAGGACAGCACTGATTAGTTATTATCATAATGACAAATGGCTTTTAAACTTTCTTATCTTATAGGAACAAGAAAATGGCAAATGCAGTTAGTTCAGTAAAGAATATATACCTATACATATATACATTACATTTGTATACATACATATGTACATTTGTATATAAACTAGGTAGAAAGGTAATAAAAATGTAAACAAACATTGACTACGACACTTCAAGTGTGAATGCACATAAACTTAAGTGCTTTTATATGTACATATGTACATACTTACATACATATGTAGTCCTCGCACACACTCCAACACCGAAATTGAGTTGTTGTACAAGTATAATAAAAATGCATTCTTACAGGCATTACCATTAAAATTTGCAATGGTTTCGCTATAGGTTACGTTTATTGTTATTAGCGAATGCGTATGGCACAGACGGGAAGGGAATGGCGCGCATACATATGTAGTAGGTACGTATATATGTACGTAGGTGGTCGCTAATTGCGGAAGCACACCGTCAATGGCGGGCTGAAATTCCGGAAGACCTTTGCCAGAGCATGATTAAGCGCAAGTAAGTTGGAGACACAACTAATAAGTTCGGTAAACAATGAGCTTGTATTTTAATTATCGATTTGTGCAAAGTAAATATATTTAATTTTTTTACGACCACTTACCTTCGGCTTTGGTAGACATGATTTTATATTTAGCTGGAGTTGGTGGCGTTCGAGATTGATGGTATAATGACTTTAACACTTATGGAATATATCTTTGTACTATAGATTTGAACACACATTTCGTTGGACCTGAGATTCTTAGCCGCAAAACGACTTTCGAAATTAGTTTCAAAATAAAGAAGAATTCATTTAGAATTTTTCTTTTTCTTAAATTAGTAAAAACTAAGAATATTAATTTTTTATTCTATCACTAAAGCGCATTAAAAGCATGACTGACACGTAAGATATGAGATCTGAAAAGAAAAACAAATTAAAATAATTAATAAAATAATAATAAACAAAAACAAGAAAATACGTTATTATCGGCTTCGCTAAAGCTTTATACCCTTCACAACAGGGGCATTTCTTATGGTATAAAAAGTTCTTTATGTTAAAATTGATCGGCCATGATCGGTAGAATGATCTGATGTCATCGTAAATCGTAGCATTGTCTTTGATAATAATCCATGTCAAATTTCGTGAAGATATCTTGTCATATGAAAAAATTTCCCATGTAATTTTGATCGATCTGTTTATATGATAGCCATGCTATACTGATCTAGGTCAAATTTTGCAAAGAAACCTTGCCAAATAAAACGGTTTTCCAAACAAGGATTTCATTTCGATCGGCAAGTTTGTATGATGGTCCGTTCTGAACAATATGTTCACAGATTGTAGTATCGTGTTGGATACCTAATTACACCGAATTTCGCGGAGATATTTTGCCAAAGTTCCACATAAGGGCTCCGCTAGTATTTCGCAATGAAAAATACTTAATATTTGCTAGTTTTTATCTGCTATGCAGTTGTAAAACGAAGCAAATAATTTTAAAAAAATCGAAACATTTTTTAACGTAATTTATTTCAGTTCGATGATACCCCAACGTGGTCATACCTCCGACTCAATTGTATTACTAGAACACGACAAGATGCTTAAGATACATGTATATTGTACATACATACACCTTCTGCTTTGAGGTCGATTTCGAGATAACGAAAAGGAGTTCATTCAGAATTGTAGGGACTATTTAGGGCCAGATGCAATTAATCTAATTTCAAGCATGGGGATTCTCCATAGTGCGACTATTTTGATCTAACGAAGAAGAAAAAAGAAACTATTTACACTAAACAGCTTAAAGAACTATGATGATTCCTCTAGACATGATTAAGTTATGCGATTGGGTAGAAAAACTCAGATGTGAAGTGGCCCTTTGTTGAACAAAAATAACATAGTATAAGGAAAGCGAAATCAAAGCTTTTATTTAGTAAATTGGACAAAAGCTTGAACGTTGGAACCAAATGATACGGGTTGCGCGAAGCAAAGATGCCCAGGGAATTTTAAGTACCGGTACGTTTTGACAATGACGAATTTTGAATAATGTTGAGCTCTAGAAAATACATACATATGTATGTATGTATGAAAAGCATAAAAACAAAGTAGAGAATTGCAGAAATATTTTTAAGTGAGGTTAACTGAAGCAGAATAAAAACAAGAAAAAACGTTAATAGTGATCTGATCTGACCAATTTTTGTGGAGAATAATTTGTTGCCTTAAGCAATAACTCGTGCCAAATTTCGTGGAGATACCTCGTCAAATGAAAGAGTTTTCCATACAAGCACTTCATTCCGATTGTTCAGTTTGTATGGCAGCTATATGCTATAGTCATCCGATCTGAATAATTTCTTCGAGGATTGGATTAATGCCTTCAATAATAATACACGCCAAATTTCATGAAGATACCTCGTCAAATGAAAGAGTTTTCCATACAAACACTTGATTACAATTGTTCAGTTTGTATGGCAGTTATATGCTATAGTGGTCCGATATCGGCCGTTCCAAATGAGCAGCTTCTTTGTTAGAAAAGGACAGGTGCAAAATTTCAGATTGATTGCATTAAAACTGAGGGACTAGTTTGTATATATACAGACAGACGGACAGACGGACTAGGCTAAATCAACTCAGCTCATCATGCTGATCATTTATGTATATATTTTATAGGGTCTCCGATGTTTCCTTCTGGGTGTTACAAACTTCGTGGCAAACTTAATATACCCTGTTCAACCAGTATAAAGCTGTAGGCTGAATTCTTTGGACGTATTAATATAATAGATTGATGTGATAAAATGTATAATTTTTCTCTACACGTCTCTTGGGGTTCAAAAGGGACACCGCGGGAAATTATTTCTGAAACATTTTTGGTACATTTTTTTACCAGGCTTGCAGGCATACAATGTGTAGGCTAAACAGATGGTGACTGTAATTTGTAGAAAACGTAAAAAAAAAAGTAGCGATAAGTGAGCGAAAGAGAAAATCAGACTTCAACCGAACTAAAAATTCTCGTTCTTATATAAATATTGATATGTTTGAAAGTCTGCTTGCTCACTAAGTACAGTCGCTGGCGAAAAACAACAAAATATTATTTTAAAACGTTTGTATGTATGCCAAAAGTGCCCGCAACGATAGCAGCGTCAAAAGCTCTCGCTCACTTTTGCGAAAGAGACACAAAAGCATTATAAAAAGCGAGTAGCGCAAAATAAATAGAGAAACAAGAAGCAAAAAAAAACTTGAAACCTGCCGGCCGGTTTTCATTGACGTGTCGTACTACCAAATGAGTTACGATTTTTGTAGTAATTGTGGTAGTCGTGGTAGTAGTCGTCGTAGTAGCAGTATTTCGTATGTGGCAGAATCAAGTGGACTGCGTACAGAACCGATTGTATATGGGCAAGGATATGGGGGGTAGTTGCATTATACAAATATTTCACAATTTTGCAGAAATTACGAGAGTATCTGCTGACCGACCGAACAAGAATTTCACAACAGAATGAAAGTACCAGGTATACATACACATATGTATGTATATATATCGTTGTATATATGCATATATAATGTATATAATATATATATATGTATATACAACTATATATATACATATATACATAATTATATACTAATATACATACAATAAAGGGAGTATCTCTGTTCGTTTGTCACTTTCGCTAAATCCCCCCAGAATTTCACCGCCATCCAGGTGATAAAAAACATCGTAAAGATTACTATTGTAGTGGAATTGTCAACTCAATAAATGCGATTATATTCATACCTATGTACGAATCTTTCTAAGAACTTTGAAAATTCAATTCGTTCGACGTTTGCAAGCGTTTGGTAAAAATTCCTATAGAAGATATAAGAGCACAAAGTACATAGGTAGCATAGGAGAAAAATATCAGGAACCTGTGAAAGAAAGAAACCACTCAGTGAGAGAATAGTTGCTGGTGCCTCTCAATATCAAAACAGAGATTTTGCTCAAAATTAGGAGAGACAAAGGCAGTGGGTGCTCAAAGGTGGCAAGAGAAATTAAATCTGTGAATGAGTAAAATGCTCAGTGTTGATGGCCTACTACTATTGTACTATCACTGCTACACTTTTTAGTATGAATGTAGTAGTATGGAGAAGTTTACTACTCTTTTACCAAGCATTTGCTACAATTTTCAAGTTTAGAGATATACAAGAATGGTAGAGAGATAACGACAGCTTTATCTCGTTACTTTTCTTGGCGTGCATTTGACAGCAAAATACCTTAGGTCGTGACTAAGTAAGTAAGTGAATTTTATTAACAATTGCTATAAAGTTTGACAGTTCGTAGGTCTGTCGCAATCATGTCTCTGATATCCTGAGGGCTATCATTCCATAAACTGGTATTTTAAATACATTCGTCAGTACAACTTATGTAATTTCCTGTTATGTTTCTTTTTTTCAAAAAAAAAGTTATAAAAATATTATATAAATTTTATTTATTCAATTAAATAAACATTCCCAATTAAGCACAGGTAATTATTATTTTTGTCAATTTTTGTTATTTTTGCAAATACTTAAATATATTTCAATGAAATTGTAGTGTAAACAAACAATAACATTGTGTGTTTATGTATGTGTAAATAAAAATAAAGTAAAATTACAAATTTTTAACAAATTAAACATCAATGTTTGCTGACGCATAAAATAGTTGATAGACAGTGTTAGACAGTGTATGCATATTAGGGTGCCACCATACACATATTTTGGGTAAAAATTTGTTAAAACAGCGGGAATTTATAGAAATTAAAGTTTAAAAGATCAAGCAATTTGCAACATGAAATTTTGTATTTTTAGAATACATTTACTTTAAAAAAGACCTATTGAAATTCATAAACTAAGCTATCTTTATTATTGGCATATTGGCTAACGATATTTTATTTTAAAGGAAATTTGATAGGCTTTCTATTTTGCGTTCATTTAAAAAATCTAGTCTATGGATAGTATGAGGATTGCCTTTTATATTTCGGGATTAGCGAACAAATATTAATCATCAATAATCGCTTTATTGCTTTTCAAAATATTCTCCATTAAGATCTAAACACTGTTGCATGCGTTTGAACCTATTGCGAAGCACTATTGCCACTCTGATTGAGGTATCTCCAAAACATGCGTTCTAAATGCGTTAACTGTCTCTCAGTTTATTCTTTATGTACTATAAGACTATACGGTAGATAACTCATCAAATCCATGTTTTGAGTGCTCAAAAAGAGAGGTGAAGAGTGACCAGTCTTCGGCGGTTAGTTTTCCTGATTTCTTGAAAGACAACTGGCAAACAAATGGCTCAGAATTTACTGTTTTGCGTTGCTCTAGTGGTATGGTTGCGACACGTCCAGTCCACAATCCAAAAAAAACACAGGCAACCATTTGCTAGATAGGCGACTGCTGTTTACTTCAAAAATCTTCCAAAATATAGTTTTCAAACGGAAATGTAGATAATTTGGAATTTGAAATAAATGTAATTTAAGTAAAATTATCCCGGCAGAAGTAAAAAATATTTGCTAAAAGTAGTAGAGGCTCACTTCACTGCCACATTGTTGTTATAGATAGTTTTTATAGTAGTTGCACCCTAATGTACATATACAAATAAATTCAAAGGCATACATATATGCATTTATAAAGCTACTATGCAAATAAATGTGTACAGTTGTGCGAAATTGAAACAGAAGCTTAAACAATTGAACAACTGTAGAAAAATACTCAAATATTAAGTATGTACATATGTATGATACTTATATCTTCAACAAATAGGCTTATATTTAATTTATATTTATAATTAGATATTTTCTGCAAAGGTCAGCACTTTATACGTACTTTAAGTTGTGCTATATTCTTAACACTCAATACACACCCTTGTACAAGAGTATTATAGATTTCTACATCGAGCATGAAGTTGTTGATTAGATGAGGAGTACGTAAGTAATTAAGCCATGTCTGTCCACACAAGATGTGGAATCGTACTTGCCGCACATGTAACCCTAAATTGAGTTAGGTTCAGGATTGCAAATAATGCATTAAAAATAATTGATTTACATTAAAATGAGATTTTATTTTATTTCGTAATTTCAAATACCGTATCGAAAAAAATAGATTATTCTAAATGCGGGATTAAAAAATAAAAAAAAACAAAAATTTTAATCCCAAGTTCGGGATTAAAAAAAAATATAATCCCACTAAAAATCATACCATCAGGATTAAAAAATGTAAATTGAATTTTTAATCCCAACAACGGAATTAAAAAATTAAAATTAAATTCTTAATCCAAAAATTTTGAATAAAAAAATTCGCTACCCTGGTTGCGTTAGTATTGAAATCCTTCTTAAACGGTATATTTTAAAAACCAACGAAGGTTTCAATTTCAGTTTTAGAAGAGTGTAAAATTAATATGATTTTAAGGTTGATTTGTATATTTTACGTGTGACCAGTTATTTGCATATTCCATAGCATATTTTTTACATGGGGGTTAACGAAGCAAGGTATCGCTTTTATTCCTGTTTGTTACAATGTTCCCTTTTGTTTTGTTGATAAATAGATAGACCTTTGCTTAGCTGGTTTCGAGATTTTTTTTAATTTTTCTAGACCAACAAATATGGGTCAAAAGTGGGTAGAAACGATTTGATAGGGCTGGGAGTATATTTGAATATTCGGATATGCACATTATCTGTTTACACGGATAAAATGTGGATAATGCAGATAAAAATCTTAACTCGTAGAGACGAATGATATAAAAGCAGGCAGTAGCTGAGACTACACGTTTTCCTGCTAGGTATTTCATACTACATATGTAAATCAGTATGCGAAATTTAGTTACGCAATTTTCTAAAGGGTCATTGTCACACCTTCATATGTCAATTAAATGTTAAATATTTTACATTTTCAAATTTACTTATCAATAAATCGTGAAGACTTCAAAATAAATGAATTCAACAAATGGCCTTAAAGTGATTTTGATACTTGGTGGATAGTATGTTCTGTTTTACTTATAGAAATGCGGCTGCGGTCAAAAAAATAATTACACGTAACTCTTTGCTTTGATAACTAATTAATTTGTCGATCAATTTCGAATAACTTTAGTAAGGAAAAGTGCTTAGAGGAAATGAGAAAATCTTCGATTTCACACCCAGTTATACAAGACATCTTAGTGGTATAACAAGTAATGATACAATAGGAATAGAGATTACGACAATTGTGTACTCTTACTTTTACTGGTGTGCGTTTGACAGAAAAATTCATTGACGACGTCATGCACGAAAATAGAGTCTTTGTTTACAGTTATTATTGATGTTTGATAGTCCGCTTTGCTTACCACTTCTACTGCATATGATTACAAGTACATCAGTCAATTTGATTTACACCAGTAACTTGTTCGATTTGAGTCTCTCGTACACTTAAGGGGGTCGTCTTTTATTAATTAATTCTTATACTTGTAGAAATAAGATATAGAAATTTTTTTGCTTTCCAAAACTCTTGAGTCCTGGAATGCACCTTGGCAATAGATTCCAGCTTAAAAACCTTGAAACTAAATAATTTTTTTTACCGAATGTTTATAACCCCAGTTATAACTAGACTCAAGTATTTTTTAAATTAACATACTTTTAACCCGTGAAGGTTAACGACCACCCTAATATTAGACATATAATAATACAGCAATTGTTTCGCAAATGTGATTGTGTGCGTAAATTCGTAATTGATTGGCAGCAACAAGCCACAAATTGTGTGTGTATATTATTTTGGCCAAGTGTGTATTGATTTTGAAATAGTGCGGCGCTAATTTCATGCTGCTACAACAAAAAAGAAAACAACATACAAATATACAAATTCAAATTTAGATTTGCGATTACAATGACTTAAAAAGGCCGAACGCGAATTTTCGAGTTTTCTTCGAATACGCGCGCATTGTATATTACGATTTCTTATACCCTGAACAAAGTATATTCAGTTAGCCGCGATATTTGCAACATCCAAAAGGAAACTTCGCAGACCCTATAAACTATTTGTATGTGTATGTATATGTATATAAGTTATCAGCGTCACGAGCTGAGTCGATTTAGCCATGTTCGTCTGTCCATCCGTCTGTACATACGCGAACTAGTCCCTCAGTTTTTGACATATCGACTTGAAATTTTGCACACGTACATTTCTCATCATGAAACTGCTCATTTGTGGGCACCGCGGGGATCGGACACTATGGCATATAGCTGCCATAGAAACTAACCGATCCAGCTTAGCCCTTGTACGGAAAACTTTTATTTGACAAAGTATTTTCACGAAATTTGGCATAGATTTCATCTAAGACATTGCTATAATTTCCAAAGAAATCGTTCAAATCGCCAAGTTATAGCATATAGCTGTCATACAAACTGACCGATCAAACTCAAGAAAAGATCTTTGTATGCGCTTTTATGCTATAAAAAAAGCACATGTGAAGGGTATTATAGTTTCGGTGCAGTCGAAGTTCATATTTTTCTTGTATTGCTTGCGTTTGTCGTTGTTGTTTTCTTTATTTTTTGCACAAAGCTTGTGAAAAATTAAATTGCGTAACAATTGCTGGCCATTCCATTATGGAATAAATTGCGTGGCAGCGGCACTTAAACGCATTACATTTCCTTAGCTGGTAATTGTATCTTTTATCAGTTTTCCGCTGGAAAAACGGTGCGCGAAATGTACATACATTACGCCAATTATAAATAATAAAACACAAAATTTGTGAATGCATATGCACTCATGTATGTATGTATATGTATACAATAGAAATGTAAGCGCAATCATTTATAAGAGCACAGTTGCCAAAGCATTTGAACTGAAGAACTACAAACATAGATAGGTAATACATTTGTAAGTATGTATAACTACGCTTTCACATGCACCGTGCTTTCGCCACACACGCACATACGCATCGCTGCTTACTACCCGCAGTGGAACAAGGCGTACAACAATTGCAGATACAATATTCGAATTTTTACCCTTATTCCGAAAACTTGAGCTGAGTTCAACGACCTCCACATTGTCTGCGCAGCAAGTTTTTGTTGGTTGAAGGTCATCGGAGACGCAAAAAAGCGGTGCCACCTGCCGCCACCCACTTTTTATTGTGCGTAGCGTAAATGAGCAAAAGAGCGTAGAGGGTGGGTGGGCGTGTAGTATATGAGAGGATGCGAACAGATTGAGAGCGAATACAATTTCAATTAAGGAGAGAGTATTTTAGCTTTCTATGGCAGCGCAGGAATGAGTTTGGAATAATAAAAAATTCGAACTAAGCTGATTAGCTTATCAAGAAGTTTAAGCGAAAGTGAGCTTATATAAAAAATAGCTTCGTTAATAGTTTCAGATGTATTAATGTGGAACTGTTAGTAGATATTAATCCCTAATCAAAAGTTTAAAATACCAGCGAGGCTCGTTGACACCCTTATTATACCATTTACAGGTGCATTTCTTATAGCATAAAAGTGTAGCTATATGCTATAGTGGTCCGATGTCGGGAACTCCGGCAAATGAGAAGTTTCTTAGGCGGATCGATATCTCAAAAACTGAGGCACCTGTTCGCGTATATACAGACGTACAGACAGATGGAAATGGCTAAATCGACCCGGCTCGTCACACTGATCATTTATATATATGGTTTATAGGATTTCCGCCATTTCCATCTGGGTGCTACAAACTACGTGGCAAACTAATATATCTTGTTCAGGGTATAAAGAGAAGGGAGGTCTAAAATTAGAGCACTGCGCACTCCTCTCTGAAACGTTTCACATTGAATAATTTTGTTGAAACCTACTAGCCATTTCCTTGATGCAGTCCAGCTCACACTTCCGTCGCAATAACGTACGAACGGCTACTTAACATAATTTACATTGAATCCAATTAACATGTTCTTAGACTCCCTCCTCTTGAATGTCATTCTGGAAGTTAAACCATTGTAGAAATCTCGTGTTGTTTCGAGAAACCGGTATATTTAGAATTAGTTAAATACCAAATTTGCGGCGTTATAAAATGTCTGTTACGCTATTTTAGAATTCACCACAGTAAAGAAGAAGCAGAAGAAAAAAATAAGTTTCAATTCGCAAACAACTATAGTGGGTCTAAAAATGCTAGTATATGCAAACTTATTAAGTTATTCAGAGAATAAAATATAATGAACGTAGATCCGGCATCTTCAAGCATGCAAAGAAGATAAAAAAGAAAATGGAAGAGGCGATGCCTCTAGCCAATTGGTGAATAATCGCAAAGTTTAACGCAAAATGTCTTTAATGATCCCCTGGCTCAAATCCTTTCGCCACACCACTGTGCACACGCAATACAATTTGGCTGATTTCAGTGCCATATTCATAATTGCATAGAACTTTTTTAATTAATTTTAAATCATAAGTTTTCAATAGTTTCCACCATAAATATAAATTTACAGACTGTGTAAAATTGAAGGTATATTCCACAAATTTATGTGAACATTCTATGCAGTATATACATACACACATACTTGTATGTACATACATACAAACGAGTGTTCATGCGTATTTGATTATGCAAATTTCTGGCAAATACTCAATTTGCTGTTTCACGCGCTTACTGTTTATATTTATTCCTCATTTCATTACAATGTATTACAATTTATATACATTCTCATTCACAGATACTACACACACGCACACAAACGCAAATATATATTTGAATATGTGTTCATGCGTACAAAAACTGCAGTAAATTGGTTGGAGGTTAGTGCGGAAGTGGTAAGTTTGTAAGTAGTTTCGGACCGCTGCATGTTTTAAAAAATTTTTGGATGCATTTTTTTTTTGGGATATTTGACATGCCCTGCTGAATTGGCGCCATTTTTTTTCAATAAAGTTCGAAAAACGAAAGAAAGTATTTTTGTAAAAATGCACTAAGATATTTTTCTAATCCAAATCCCAATCATATTTGAGGCATTATGCATAAAGGGTTATCAATTTCATCCACATGGATTATTTTTTTATATAGCTTAGAAAGTGCTTGGTCGAACAAAATACCGATATAAATTAAGTATACTGGTATAATCAAGGAATAAGGAGCGGTTAGACCACTTTAAAAAGGCATCCACATACCCTTGCGTATGAAACCTTTTTGTATCTTTCACATAAAAATTTTTGATGAGAGTAAAGCTCACAAACAGAGAAACGAGAAGCTATTAAAAACGAATATAAAGTAGTGAAGCAGATTGTCTGCAAATACTAGAGTTTTGGGTAATTTGTTTTTGGAAAATTTATGAATTCCTATACATTAGAAGATATCGAACATTTTAACAAAAGCTGTGATAGCTGTGTTGGGGTACTTTTTTCAATGGAACCTCGAAAAGCAATAAAATTAAAAGAAACTGGAATAATTAGGAAAAAGCTAACACTAAGCAGATTTGAAAAAAATCGACTTTACAAAAGGCTAAACGGTTATTTTGCTTTTTGAAGGTTTTTTCTTCTACAAACTCAAATTTGGATATTTACTTTTCTTAAAAAATTATTACTATAAAAATATATTACAATTTCGATTTTGCTAATGAATAGTTGTTAACTAAAAGCACAGAAAAAGCTCTACATTTAAGCAGCGAACTCTTTAGATGAAAATTTGGCGATTAAAAAAATTGAGAAAATATGGAATTTTCAAGAATGAGATAAGGTTAAGCAGACCTTAGTTAATCGAAAAAGTTTACAAAGCGTTATAAAAGCGTTTAGTTTCCTTTCCAACATTATGTTAGTGTATTAACGGAGCACCGCCAAGTAAATCTCAATAAATCGAAAAAGTTTATAAATATCTAAAAAAAAAAGATATTTTCTTAGAGTTATAATATGTTCTTTTCCTTTCTTTTCCTAACTCAAAACATTTCTGATTTCAACTGAAGCAGAGCTAAAGGAAAGTGGAGTTAATGAGTGCAATCGAGAGGGCATCTAGCAACATCTTCGCTCTAAACCCAAAACCAGGCTTCTACCCCACAATTTTTTAAAAATCTTTGCAGTTAAATGTGTATACGGTAATTGAGCCACACATTTACACATGCGTAATACATACATATAAACCATTACAACACTATACTTACTATTTCTAAAAATTCGACAAAACGAAGAATCGACACGAAAATAACGATTGTGAGAAGCATTCAGTTTCCCAAATAGAAAATGAAATCAAATCAAAAATTTTACATACGACTGTTTGTTTGTATCTGTATAAGCGTGTGTATGTGTGCCACGCATATGTATTATGCATAAGCTTTCAGCTGACCCTCAAATTGATATTAACATTTTGCGTAAAACTCAATTCCGAACGGTTTTCGCTAATTTACCATATTCAAGGCTTCACAGCCTTGCTGCTTCGAAATTTTGTGAGTTTTTAGTTTTCACAAAAAAAGGCAACACATTTGAAAAATGGCCTTGAATTGTAAATTTTTGAGCGCTGAAATTTCTTAAGTACGCAGTACAAGTATGCTTGTGTGTGTGCTTTTGCATTTGAAATTAAAAAATCAAATTTTATGTTTGATTAGAGGCGCTGGCTAGCGATGAGCAAAATAAAAGTGAAAACTTTTTTGTTGCGTCCAAATGGGACTATATACATAAATGGAAATAGAATTACGTGGTGTTATGCTGAAAAATGGTAACGCTGATAATGCAATCGCACAAACTAACAGGCTTATCTCGATGAAACGGGTGAAGTCACAGAGGCTCTTATGTTCTGCTCAACATAATTGAGTAATCGGAAGTAATGTTCGAGATGTTGACAAATTGCGGTGTGTACTTGATTAAAAAAATTATTTATTTATTGCAAAGTCGTTATAAAAATAAAGCAGCTAATTGATGTTTTGGTTTGTTAGAAAGAGTAAATACATATTCAATTAATTTTTAATGTTCACACAACTTATTTTTTTTTTTTCAAATAAAATATTTGTATGTGGCAACTGTACCTTAAAAATGGATCTGCGATCAACTGTTTTCAGTCGCATGTTGTGATATATATTTTTTCAGTTATGGCAAAGCCGATATGAATATGTCAAGTTAGACATTGTTATTTCTGAAAATAGTTGCTATAAAAAGGTTTCACAAAAGGGTTACGATATTCATGTTCATTTCAAATTGGTTTTTGATTTTCGCAACCTTAAAGGTTTTCTTTTTGATCTTACTTATACTGCAGCAAGAAACATAAGTAATTCAGGGTGAACTCTAACAGAGCAAGTGGTTTGGAAGATGGCTCATCTCGCAAACTTCTTAGCATTGCATTTGCCCGATTTAAAAATTAAAACTTTAGGATAAGTAAATCCATTAATACAACAGCTAGCGAAAATTAATTTCACCATTGCCGTGGCAACTTTGAAAACTATTGTTTAAGAAATAAGATGTAGAGTCTATCTATTATAATAATCGGTGCATTTGGAGTGAGGAGTGGATATATAAAGAGGTATTGAGAGGTTTAAGCATAATCTTCTGACTAATTCGCTATGGTTATGAAAACTTTTTTATCATTGGCGATCACCTGGATATTTCGTAAGCCCACTTTTTAGCCCTGTAGAGATTTTTTATACTTTGACATTGTTTTGTAGATCAGCTGAAATCCCTCGATGGGTCATGAGCTTCAAGAATAATGATCTTACATTAAGAAGTTCCTGAAGATAAGATATCGGGTGTAAGTGTTCTGTAATTATCACTACCGTATTTACCAATCACTCATTCCGAAAAGTAGGAGCCATTGGGTTTGTTCACCTAGTGTATATGGTCAAAGTGATTTTGTTGTACGCCCTGTCTAGCTGGTATTCTAAGGCTTGAGGTGTCCATCTAAAATACTTTCAGACGGCCTTTAGGATGTGAACAGTGCAGCTTGTCCCCTTTTTCGTTTCTTACTATATCCTATATGATTGAGTGTCCAAAAGATGCTCACTAAGTTTGCTACTTAAAGTCTATTCAGTGAGACTTCGTGTTGATGCTAAGGATAAAATGTATTTTTCATAGAATAAAAAATTTTTGCTTAATTTAGTTTATGAATACCACACAATATATTTTTTCTTTATATGCCGTCAACACTTGCTAGCAATACCTGTTCTCATTATCGGGGCATTACATTTTCTTCCAACTACCTTGTAAACATAAACAAAGTTCCAAAAATAAACGACATTACAATAAATAAATAAATATCACCGTGATAGCGGTTCATTCATTATTAAAGCAAAAAAAAAAAAAAAAAAAAAAAAAAACTGTAACACAAACAAAACGAAAACATTTAATTCGTCGGTCGGTTACACCCAAAGTACCGAGTTTATCAAAGCAACACAACTGATTGAAAATGTGGACACCAGGGACTACAATTGTTACCTTAGAACACAGGCTAAGTTTATTGGCTTTCATTATATATATATATGATGAGAAAGCATAATTTCTCTTGAAGTGCGGTAGCCGATGAGAGAAGTAGTTGACTTTGAAATTGCGTGACAACGTGCGGCGATACATAATTTATCAAAAAAAAAAAAAAACAAAAATTGCTTCGGAGCCTTAGAAGGACACACCTAAATGCCAAGTTAAGCGCAAACATACTAGCACACATATGTATATCTAGTATTATCTTCAAGACTTCTCCTTGTCGAAAATCAGCAATCGGCTGTCGAATTGTAACATTTAGAGGCTACAGTTTTATTGGACATTAACCTGCTTGAAGTTGAGCACACTTTAACCTCTCTCACACTGCCCATTGCGGGGTACATACATACATATATATGTAAAGCTGGATACGAACCTCTACAGTGCATGCACTATGTTTGTGTACGCGTTTAACTCACGAACAGCTAGAGTTCAAACAAAGTTTGTTCGCCGATGTTATTCTGCTTTGTCTCTGCGGTTGTCTCTGTTGTTGTACTTGAGTTTTGCTATACGAAAAATTCAATTGTGGCTATGACCTCGTGCATGAGAGATTTCATATTTGTATGTATGTATGTGTGTGTGTATTTTTGTTACGCATCAAAGGTGGCAACAATGCCAGGCCCTTTCCACTTCGAAGGAGGTGGTTATTCTTTGTTCGCATTATGGAAATTCTTTGTTTGCAACTCTTCTCTGTGGATGCATTGCGCACAAAGAGTACGCGAGCACACCATGCCAAGGAAAATTGAGTTAATAATGAACCTGATTTTTCTTCATTCAATTCACAAAACGAAAATAATTAAAAATAAAAAACCTGTAGTGTGTACTACAAGTACTAATATATATGTATGTATATATTTAGTTTAAATTTCAAAAATCTCTCTACAATGAACATCACTAGTTCCTTATCTCAGTTTTCCGGCGAAATCAAAATCTGATTAAACCCAGCAAAATCGCTGATATAACTTACTTTTCGTACAACAGCTGCAGAGAGGATTTACAACAATATTTGATCTTCATAGCGGCACCGATTTTTCAACAAACCCTTTTTGACCAAACACTTGATAAGACAGGAAAGAGATACTTCTATTATCTTAAATATATATTATATACTTTACTATACCATGAATTATAATTGAATATATAACAAAATACAAGAAATCTAAATAAAGATTTAATATTAGATCAAACAATCAATTTACGTATAGCCAGAGTGAAATATTCCCTAGAGTACCAAGCCTAGTCAAACTAAACCCATATGTCATGGGAATTGGTTAATTGCCGTACTTAGGCCCATTGTGCTAACCAAATTAAGCCTTATCCAACAACTCAGTGGATTTGGGGGTTTTCCACCCCAGTTGCTAGATGTCTTTTAAGTTGGTGCATTGGGAGCCGTGGAATATACATTCTGCCGAATCTACTTTTCCATTTTCTGAAAGTGAGATCTTAATGATAGGTGCCCTGTGATGACCACTACAATATTACTTTTTCGGTCGGTCCACCATCAACACTACCCCAAAGTAAATTTGTGGTAAGCTCTGTGTTGCTTGTGTTCCAACAGATGAGGTGTTCCCCTAGGGTACATTGCTTCAAAGAGCCCCTGAAGGAGCTGAATGGTCTCCCAGCTGCGACCGAGAGGGCCAGCTCGTCTGCTTTTTTATTTCCTTCTATTCCTATATGACTGGGTAGCCAGATGATATTAAACGAGTTACCTACTGAGAGTCTAGTTTTTGTCTGATTGCATAACCTAACGCAATGTTACTAAGTATTGGCGCTGCGGATAGCCTTAATTGCCGCTAGGCTATCCACTAGAAGGTTTATGGACTTGCTAGTTAGTGCAGAAGCCCATTTGGGATCTTTTGTTATGCCCACTATTTCGGCATGAAAGACTGAATCTTAGTCATTTGGTTTGAAGCTACCTTCTGTGTATAAATTACTACAGAAGAAGCTCACTCCTGTTCCTATTTCAACCTTTGATTCGTCGTGAATATGCCGTTGTAACTGTCGAACTCAGAGCCATCAATGGTCAATTCTTCTCTACTGATAAATGAAAACGTTGTATATAATAACTCATGGGAATTATTACACAGCCCTATAATTTAAAAGAGTCTAATCAAAAATAAGTAGTCCAAAAGTAAACAACTCTTATGAAGTCTTGATAATGGAGGCATTATTCGGCTAAGAGTAATAAGAAAATATAAGGCGAAGTCCTCAGGGAGTAAACTGAACTCAAGCCATTCAAAAGATTTTTCAATCAATATTTTTAAGTTTATGAATTCAAAATGGCCATCCCGGACGATAACATCCGAGAAAGTTTGCATTTTTATCATTATTTTATTAACGGTTACCGATTTGCAGATTGAGGATATACCAAAACATTTTGTCAACACTGCCAGGCAATGCTATTATAGCCATGTTCAAGCAAATAGCACACTTAGCCATAAAAATGCTGTTATGCAGTATATAGAAATATTGGAGTATTTTTTTTTGGAAATTAAGTATCTTGAGTTTTTCAAAGAATAACATACAAATATTTTGTATAGATGCCACTAGTTTCAAACAAAATTTATTTGAAAATTAGCAATTGAAATTCTACTAAAACTTTATACGGAAAAGCATAAAGATGTTTTTTTTTTTAAAGAGTTGCCACCTATTTTGAATACATTTTTAATTGCAATTATGAGACTGATAACGTATTTAGGCATTGTTAGAAAACATAAAAATGTTTTTATGAAATTGCCACCTGTTTTTAGACAAAAACTGTTTGAAAACTATTAAAATAAATCGAATATTGAAAATTCGAAATGAAACATCTGTTTAACAATGCTTTTAAATGATAGGTTTTTGTAAAAGTTTGCATAAAATTATCACCCTTACAGAATTTCCGAAAATTCTAAAAATTATCAAAAATAGAAATATATAAAAAACTATTGGGTTACTGCTATTTAGGAAGTATTATTTTATATTTCACAACAAATTACAATAAAAAATAAAACAAAAATAATAAACTACAATTTTCACCTATAGTTATTTTTATCCACTGTTCTTCTGTGCTGATTTTTGTATTTACTCATATGATTATTTTCGCTGCTATGATTTGTTTTCTCCACTAACTTGTCATTTTGAATTAAAATATCACAGTATTATTATATTTTGACAGCGCCTGAGGCAATATATCAGCAGCAGCAGCAGCAAAATATTCGACACAAATCAATCGACACCAGCCCGGGGCCGCCTTCACCTCTAGATGCTACATGACAAATAGCAACTTCCCAAGCTTTCAACTGCAAAACTTTGGTTTACGTTGCTCGCATTATTTACGCTAGCAGCAAACATTAGTTCTCAAGACCAATTCTGCAATGTTAAACACTCGAGGAGTTTTTGCCTACATAGATTTGCGATTTATTTGTTGCATAGTTTTTCTAAGAGAAACGGTATATTCATAGGCAAGCTGGGGTTCGCCGGGAAAACCTAATAAGAAATTTTAGTTTTATTTTAATTTTTTTCTGAAAAGATGCTGACAATGAAATTGAATTATGATTAATAGAGAGGCAGGCCATATTTCATTCGCTTTGCATTGGTAATAAAAACATCAAGGGAAGCGAAATCTACACAAATTAGACAAGAATGGAAATTCTATTTTAATTTTTTAAATTTCATTTCTAAAATATTCACTCATCTTTAGTCTGAGTCGTCAGTTTTTTGTTCTTTTAAAAAATTCTCAAAGGGACGTGCGTGTATATGAGAGAATGGATGAGCACTTGTCCGCAGGAATAAGTTTCAAAAAGTAATTAAGTACTTACCGAGAACTATGTATACATAAATACATAAAAAACAAACACAAATCCATATGTTGTATTCATTGTTAGTAACGTTTCATAAATTTAGTGCCTGCCGCTTTAGAAGAAAGGTCTTCTTTTTTGGGCATAGTTGATAGCTATTACTAGCACTTACTGTGTGTAAATATTAAGGTGATCGAATTTTTGCTTTCTTTTTTGATGTTCCGTTTATTTCCGACAATGTGGAAAATAGAATATGAGTAAAATGCTAATAATCAAAATATTTTACAGGGACAAATAGAAGCCAATAACTAACCCCGAAAATGAGAATCGTTTAATAACATCTGTCATATAATTTAATATATATTTGGCTATCCTTGGAAACTTCTCGAAAATACTCTGAATACACGGATAGCCAGATGGCATTGTTGACCTTGTCGGCGCCACAGATTAAGTCCAACGTAATCAACAATTGCAGAAAGGCTTTAAGCGCGCAGGCTGAATGCCGAACTCTATCACAAACTTTAAATGCAATACCTGAAATCCATCCAGAATCGCTGTCAATAAAAATCATAACGGAATATATTAATATACTTTATATAAAATGTAGATATAATTTTGTTTAAATAAAATACTCTTGTATTCTAGCGAACATTGTTTTGTATTAAACTTTAAAATTGTTGTAGAAATAAGAGTAAAGAGTATTTGATTAAATAATGGCAGATAAAATTATCATTACGAAGATTTTATTCTGAAGTTTAACAAAAATTATTAATCTCCACTTGAGTTAGTTTCATTGACTTCTTAAGAAGTTTTACTTAGGCAAAAATTTATTTTAGTTTTTATTACTTATAATCTTATATTTTTGTAGTTTCGATCGACTCACGATTATATTACTTGAATTCACAACCGACTTATAAACTATTGTCCGCTCACCCTAGTATGCGACGCTGCGTGAGATAGCAATAAGAATAGAAAGACTTCTTGCTGTTATGTACCTAATGACTCTCCTGTGATAACCTCAACTCTTCGTAGATACATACATACAAGTATGTGCTTATGCTTGTAAGTGACGTTGTCAGCGGAGCGCAACAAGTGAAAGGCCTAACATATGATGGGGAACGTAAAGGCAAAGGCAAAGGGACCACTTCAAGTGGGTCGCTATTCCACTTCATGTACACCAATATACATACCTATATATAATGCATACATATATTTTAGTAAGTGTAATGAACGATGATAAGCAATTCAATATTTGAGAATAGTTTTGAGTGGAAAATAAATGTTAGATTGGTACAAAAAGATACAAAATATGTCATAAACGCTTGACTTTGGATTTTTTTAAATTTAATTTCACTGATAACAGTATATACTAATAAATATATTTTCATCATTTTTACAGATGAGCTTTGTTGCTTGATCTAACTTTGGCAACTTTTGTTTTTTGCATAATAAGGTACACTTCATACTCCGTTAACCGCTTATGAAAAATGTAATTATACCCTTGCAACATGTTGCTACACAGTATAACAGTTTTGTTCACCTAAAGGCAGTTTGATTCTTCTAAAACTAAACGAGAAAGATATAGTGTTATATATGTATAAATGATCAGGATGACGAGACGGGTCGTCTATCCACGGACGGACGAGCAAGCTGTAACCTTAGTAAAAATTAAGATATATTGATGATACTTGGTACACAGGTTCCTCGGCACCACAAGAAATTAGGTATTGTAGATGGGCGTAATCGGACAACTGCCCCGCCAACAAAGTCTTTAAACGAAAACCTATAAAGTGCCATAACTTAGCACTAAATTTAGATATAAAACTGTAATTTTATACAGGCAATCGCACTGGGGAGGGTCATCTATGGTTAAACTTTTTTTTTCAAAAGTGGCCGTGGCCCTGCACTCTAATAAGTTTAATGTATATATCTTCTAAGCTATTCGAGCTATATAGCCCAAATTTGCACAGAATAAATATTTTTGATTCTTCCTATGACAGTATGAAAATGGATGATAACTTCGCCTGCTTCCCATAAAACGGCTTTGTTGAAAACTACTAAAACTGCGGTAAATCAATAACTAAATGCGTCAAAGGCATTAAATTTTACATCCGCGATAACACAAATGGATTTTATAGGGGGGTTTATCACATATATCCGGAACTAAATTCCATATAATTTGTATACTTTCCAGTATACAAATCAAGCCCCAATTAATATATCGGGACCAAACTTTGCACAAATAGTGCCTTTGAGATACGGAAATACTCACATCTAAAAATTTTTCAAATCGGACCACTACTGTTCAAGTGTTCAAGTCAAGGCCCAGTTACCGAATATTGGGGCCATACTGTCTGGTGCTAACTTTTTGTCGGAAATAACGGTCAATCTGAGAAATATATTATTGCAATTCGAAAAGAATCTCTTTTTGATAATAGCATGCCAGTATGTCAAAAATGGATTGAATCGGGTCAATACTTTTCTTAGCCCCCAGCTACCTTATCAAAATATTTTCGAACTTCCGGTTTACTTCATACCGCATATATCGGCCAATATGTGAGCTATCTTAATAAAATTAAGTAAATTGATTATAATGGCGCATTTTTGTGCCTAAAATGAGTAAAATCGGGTGAAGCTTTCCCTAGCTCCATCTAACTAATTACAGAATTTTTAAACATACGGTTGATACGGTTGAGTTGAGGTATCTTAATGAAACCCAGGAACATTTTATTCTGTTAATAGTATGTTGTATTGCCAAAAATAGATAAAATCGGGTTAATACTACCCCTATCTCTCATATACCTAACATAAGATTTTCAAATTTCCGATTAGCATTATGCCATATATATCAGTCAATATGTAAGATACCATAGTTTAACGTATAATATTCGATATAATATAGTTCAATGCCGAAAATATGTGCATTTAGTCTACGAATTACCCCAACTCTTATTTTAACAAACCGAACATGTCACTCAATATGTGAGTTATATATTTATGAAACTGCTTGAAAATATGATCTCAAGTATACCTCCGTAATGTCAAAATTAACTAAATCAGCCCATCCCTTTCTCCATCCTCAATATAGTCTGTACAATAATTTCAGACTTTCCACCTGACAAAATGTGTGATATTCTAATAAAATTAAATGAACAAGTTTTCTGAAAAATCGTGTGGGAATATTAATGAAATTGATCAAGACTTTGGTTCAAACCTTTTACCCCTCAAATAATGAATTGCAGTCCTCTGATTGACGTTCTCACATCAACTCATTATATTAAATGTAGCTTCTTCAGTTGAGTTTTTATCCCTTATATCTCATTTGAAGATAATTTTGAAACAACTTTAGCTGACGCGAAGTAAAATATAGTAATAAAACTCAGTGAGTCTATGACCTATAATATGTATAATTTAAAAAAATAACAAATTTGATTGTAATCTATTTACAATTTCATCGAATAATGAATGTTGAATTGTTTCGCAAAATTTTTTAAAATAAAGTTTTCCTAACACCTGAAAGTATTTTCCCAGCTTTGACCCACGCAAGTTGCAGGACTATAAAATGTTACACCCGAACTTAGTCCTTCCTTACTTGTGGTATGGTATTTTTCCTAAGTAGGTTCCGTCATTACCTCACCTACTACTGGTGTGCTTTTAAGCACTACGCAGAAAGCTTTCTTAGTTTTTACTATAGCAGAACCACACCCGAAAGTTGTTCAGAATAACCCACCTTTTTCAGGCTTGGTGAAAGTTTTACACTGATGTTGCGTAGATAAAAAAAAATGTATTACTGCCACACCGGCAGCTGTTTCTGAAACCAAAGAGAGGTTTAGCCTCTATATTTCGCGAGTACATTACAACTTAAACGCCAACGCATCTACTTTTAGACTGATCTTATATAATGAAGAGCATCAATAGCAGATGAAAAAAGAAAAAGTTAACTACGATTGCACCGAATCTATACCGATCGTTTTATATGGCAGCTAAATGCTCTGAAAAATTAATTCGGTGCGAAATTTGGAGAAGATATCTTGTCAAATAAAAAGTTGTCCATACAAGAACTTGATTATGGTCGTTAAGTTTGTATCACAGCTATACGCTGTAGTGGTCCGATATCGGTTCCGACAAATAGCAGCTTTTTGGAAAAAAAAAGGACGTGAGCAAAATTTTAGACCGAGATCTTAAAAAATGGAAGACTAGTTTGTGTATATACAGACAGGCGGGTGGATAGATAGATGTACATGAATAACTCTCAATCGACTCATGACGAGCTGATTATTTATATATATACTTTATAGGGTCTCCGACATTTCCTTCTGGGTGTTACAAATTTCGTGCAAGCTTAAAATACCATGTTCAGGGTATAACAACCTATAGAGGTAACCATAATGATTTTCGTTCTCATTATCACATTTTTTTTGGAATTTCTGGATAATCACAGGCATTAAAAGCTTTTCGATAATAATAAAACCTATATTTTTATATTCTTAGAAGTATCTTAGTGCCAGCGCATAACTAGAATAACTACTACTTAATTTCACTTAATTTTAAATTGGTTTTAACGACAAATATCGGTTGGATGCACTATTTGATTTCCAGTTAACCAAATGTATTGAAATTATGCCATCACGCTCAACAAGTCATGCTCACTAACCGTTGCATACATTGCTCGAATTATAATTTCAAATCCATATGCTCTTCCTATATATCTATATGCACTTCTTTATTATACAACAAATCTTCGCTAATTTCCAACTGACGAATGAACTGACGTAATCCCAGCGATCTGCAAGCGTTTAAGTAATTTTTCTTGAACCACAAGGAAACAAACCAAGACGACAGTGATCGTTTCCCGCAAGAAATACACAGTGATATCGAGAGAGATTCTGCATATCGAGTCAAACAAAACAGTTTCTTGTTTTAACCTGATGAATATTGCATGAAATGGACGATTAAATATGACAGTAGCGGTAAAAAAAGATGATAATCACAAATGTCATATCCTCATGAAAACTAAATTTGTAGGTAAATGTATGGATGTGATAAGTCTGCCGGAACAAACTACTCAGACAGTCAGACAGACATTTGTATACATACATTTGAATGATAATCATTTGCGGAAGTGCAAATACAGACTATTAGTTAAAAGTACATATGTATATGTATGTATATATGTATTGTAGTTGAATAAATGGCATAAGCGGCTGATTGATCGGCAAGCTGCAAAAGAACAGTGCGACAGACAGAGCACCACAATCGCCGACTCCAAAACATATGAAGACTAAGCGACGAAAGAATAAAAAGTGAATCGCAACAGATGATAAGAGTGCGTATTTCGGTCTGAGAAAGTAAAGAGTAGGCAGTAAAGTGTAGTACCAACATACATAACAACGAAGGAAAAGAGTAAGTAAGTAGTTTTTTGAAGCGATTCATCGAGGAAACAAGGTCAATTATTTTGATGAGTCTTGAGTGTTGATAGGGCGCAAGAACAATGACCGACTGACAATTGCGATGCTGATGGCGACAACCGCAGTGACGAGCAGGAGATGCGGCTGAAGATTTTGTTCATGGCAAAACGATTGCTGACGCAACAATGCATGCACACATTAAAAGTTGGTCGCATTGTGTAATGCACTGCCTCTTAAGACAC